GTTTGTTTGTAGGGATAACCTAGCCCGCCGGGGGAGGTGGATATGTGGGACGGGGCGGGAAAGCAGGGGGGAGAAAAATGCACTATTAAAACAGACACCAAAACTAACCGAAGCATAACACGCCCCGCCGCCGCCCCAGCCGCCGGCTAATTTCATCGTGAAAAATTCAAAGTGGCGCCTCGACTTGTTGTTTTATTAATTCGCGTGGAGCTGCGCTGCGGCGGCAGTGGGGGGCGCGCGGCGGCCGCGGCGGCGGTGGAGGAAGTGGTTAGCGAGAGGCAGCCTGGATGTGACGACAGGTAGGGGGGTTGTACAGTAGTTTGGCACGCGACAGCCCCCCCTGCTGACTCGGCCAACTCGCGCCGCCGCCGCGGCGGCGGGGCACGCCACGGACGGACGGCGGTGGCGGCGGTGGCGGTGGCGGCGGTGGCGGCGGCGGCCCGGGCGCGCTGCTGCTGCTCCACCCCCTGCCCGTCATCAGACTGGCGTAGTGCGGTGCGGACCGTGGTGGTGCGGGCGGACCGCCATCATCATAATGAAGGAAGCGGAGCAGCAGTGCGAACCCCGACCCGGCCAACCAGTGTGCCGCGGCGGGTAGTGTGCCGGCCGGGCGATGGGGTAAAAACAGCGCAGTGGGTCGCGCTCGCCGTCCGGCCTACACCTGGCGGCGGCAGCGGCGGCGGCCAGGGGGTGGCACCTGCGCACGGGCCGGGTTACACACTATACTCCTGGACCGGCCGGTCAACACAAACACGCCGCAAATTGGATCCGAAAGTGGTGCGGATCGGTGACCGTCTGCACCCAGAAAATGGTTTCTTATTGATTCAAGAAGGAAATTTCTACCGGATGTTGAGGATGAGGAAACTTTTCCCTTGGTTCGAGGAAAACGAGGAAATTTTCCTCCAGTGAATGAAAATTTCTTTAAATAGGCCGTTGCGACAGCAATATGGCAACAGTGCTAAATTTTCTTTAAAATGTAATCTGGGCATGTTTTTGAAGAAAGTCCAACACTCGGACATAGTAAATTTTCTAAGGATTCGAGTGGTGGTTCTTAATTTTGTTGACAGTCACTCTAAATACTCCAAATCGAGCAGAGAAAATCCGACTTGCGGTGTTGCCATGTTCCGGCAGTTCCGGGCGCAATGATCTATTTGTTAGTGCTTTGTTAATTATAGTGCCTTTATTCCCAGAGCAAATACGAAAATTTTGGGGGACTGTTGTAACCGAGATTGCGGAACAGGAAATCAGAAAAATCCGTGAGCTTTCGTTGTACCCCTCCCCTCCTAGAGGTGGCAGTAGTGGGGGCCTTGTCTACCCCGCCGCCGACGTCGCCGTCGTCGCTCGGCGTGGACTTGGACACACCCGTCCCGGCAGGCGGGGAGGCCGTCGGCGCGGGTGGGTACCGCCTTCCTTCGGCTGCGGCTGGGGCTTTTATCAGAGGCCGTCGGCGCGGACCGGAAGTGGGACCGTCGGCGCGGGCGCATGCGCGCAGCACACGCGAGGAGGGAGATCTGCGAGATGACTGTCTTAAAAGTTAATTAGAAAAAAATTAATTGAGGGAACGCGCGCGCGCCGCTCACACCCCGGCCGGTGCAGCCTGCAGGCCCGGAGAGGCGCATATGCACCTCTCCCCTCCGCCAGCGCACCCAAAAACAACATGTATTAGTCACGATCCAAACGGATTATTATTGGGCCGAGCATGAAATAAAAATTAAATAAATAAAATACGCTCGTCCCCGTCCCCGTTCGGTCAGAGCGAGCGGGGCGGCGGCGGCGTGGCTTTTGAGTGACGCGGGCGGGACGGACGAGAACAGACAGACGGTCTGCCGTGTACGTTTGTGAGAGACAACGTTTTATTGCGTTGTTCTGTCATGTTTTAATGTCGTGTTGTGATGGCGGGCGAATGCGAGGGGTCATTTCGAGGGAAGGGGCACTAACCTCTCTGAAACACCCTCTTTTCCCTCGTGCCTCTCATTCCCTCCCTGTCCACACACACAAACACAAACACACACAGAGCCTCTCCCTCTTTCTTTCTCTCTTCCCCCCTCTGATTTTCCGTCTGCTCAATATGTCCCGCCTCGCCGCGCTGCCGAGACACCCGATCCCCCACGCCGCCGCCGCGGTCCCGCGGTACAGCGGGGGCGGGGCGGGGCGGTGTGGAGCGGAAGGCAGGGGCAGCGCGGAAGGTGCGATTTCCAAGACGTTGATTTGATCAGACCTCCGTTGCGGGATCAGGGATCACCGTGACGGGATTACGGGCGGAGGTGCACTCGCCTCGTTACACAAAAGCCAGTATGTATGAGGGCGCTCACTCACTGCTCCTCGCGGGGGCGCGGCGGGGGCGGCAGGCGTTGGGCCGTGCAAGTGAGCTCGGCGGCGTCCCCGGCGGCGCGGCGGGCGGCGGGCGGGGGGCGAGGGCCCGGGCACAGGCACCTCTCTAATGAGCGACTTAAGTTTCTACATTACATCGCTAACGAACAGAAACACAATAGTGCTCCGAGTGCGGCCCGTCTCGCTCCGCTGAGCGGCGCGCGGACGGGCCACACGGGCTCTCCTCTCCCGGGGTCTCCTCCTCCTGGACCTGTTTCTGGCACTTTCGGGCTCACAACTCGCGACGCGCGGACGCTCCCCGAAAAGGCGAGCTGGTTGCAACGCGAGATTAGGGGGGGGGGGGACATGGCAAGGCAGAAAACAGCACCAGGTGCCCGTGCTTATCTGAGACTTTGCACCGAGAGGAGGGCGCGGTGCTTATACTGGGCACGACAGTGTGGCCGCCAAACACGCGCCGAGTCAAGAGGACACCATCTTTATCTGCGGGAATGCCTGCTGCTCGGAGCTGCTGCTTCGCCCTCAGCGCGCGCCGCCGCCGGTTCGTCCCCGTTGGGGAATCGGGGCTATGGCGAGGCGCCGGCCACCTGGACCATAAGGCCCTGGCCGGTGATGCTCTCTGGCCGGGGGGCGTTGCATCATGTCATGGACCAGGTCGCGGACCAGGTGCAGCGGCGGGGTGGCCGGGTGGCGGCGCTCTGCTTGGCGCCACCCGCGACGCCGGGCACCGCGCCTGCCACCCCTCCCCGACCTTACGGGCGCCTGACATTCATAGCGGCAATTACCCATACGCTGCCCTCCTCCTCCTCCCCCTGCACCTATCCTCCGACTCCTGAACCTCCTCCCTCCTCTTCCACCACCACCACCACCTCGCCTCGGGTGCAGTCAGGCGTCAACCTATTCCCCTCACGTCCCGGGCTGACCCACATTCGAAAGGGCCTAGAGCCGGCGGGGAAAAAACAATCCGCCACACCCGCAGCGTCGGTGCTGCAGTGCGGCCGTGTGGTACACCACCACCGCCGCCGCGGTGTCGGGCGGGGCTCGACGGGCAGGGTCTGGGCGTCCCCCGCGAGGAGCGCACGGCGCGACAGCAGGCGGCCAGTAGTGACCATACGCTGCTGCTGCTGGCCTACAATCACCTCTAACGATAATGGCGGCGGGTCTCTGTCTGGCTCTCACACACGCGCACACACTCAATAACAGTCCGGGTAAGGCGGGGGTGATTGTGATTGACGCTGAACCACCTGTCGACCTCCTCCTCGCGGCCCCCGCATGTGGGCGGCTGGACTTTGGACCGTAGGCGAAGCGACGCGACGCCACGCGCGACGCGACGCCGTCACCGCCCCTCGTGACTTCGCCGATACGCCAAGCACCGCGCCCTCTCCATACGTCCAGGGTAAGGGCGCGCGGGGGGTATTTTTCCGGCGGGCTCAACAACACGAAGCGGGACCAACGACGCCGCGGACGACGCCTTTCGGGGGTGTCCCATTAAAAATTGGAACAGGCGCCGCCGGACGTGACGAACAGTTGTAAGAAGGGCATCGACAGGGCGACACGACGACGACGTCGAGACGGCAAGACGACACGAGCGGCGGCCACGAAGCGAGAGGACAGTCGCACCAGAGAGCGCACCACGCGCGCAAAGTTGCCAACGGGTTTCGGGTCGCGGAGTAAAAAAAAAAAAAAAATGGGCAGGTATGGAAATAACGTGTGGCTTTGACGTCATCATCGTAGGGAACGGTTCGCGGTTATATTTACCTTTCAATGAAATGTATAAAAAGAAATCGTCCGCAAAAGCGCCCCCTCGCCTCGGGAGAAACGTTATAACCGATAAGGATGCGCCCGTCTGCCATTTAATGACGCTTTCCTGGACGGACAGGCGGGACGGCGTGCTTATCCGGAAAGGCCAATCATCTTCATTAATTTATCTCACCGGCGGCAAAGAGCGCCCCCCCCCTCTAATTCGACCTGATTTTTCGTGACTCCGCAATTAGCTGCACAAAACCTTTGCGTGCAGAAAAATAATAATGACGATATACCCGCGTGTGACGCGCCGCCTGTCAGGGAAGCGCATGTGCATAGCGGCCCTCGTGTGAGCGGCTCGACCAAAAAAGAAAAATAAATAAAAATAACGATAATTAAGATTTATGGAAAAAGGTGTATTTCGTGTTTCCCTTTTATTTTGGCGTCTCCTCGAGGGAGAGGCTCCATTTCCCGCACGTCCCTCGCTTGTCCGGTCTGGTATGAAGGCACGGCAGCGCTCCGGGCCACGTGCGTCACAACAACAGACACATGCGCACAAATACACACACACACGCGCGCGCGCAGGTATTCTCTTTCTCCCTTACGCACACACACACACACACACACACACACACACACACACACACACACACACACACACACACACACCACGCCCAATCTTGGCCGGAATGGCGGACGTGGCGGTCGCCACGCCAAATCCCAGGTGCGCCCCGCGTGTTGGTGCGCGCGTGTCTCTGTGCGTCCGTCTGGTGTAGACTGCCAAGCCTTTCCGCCGGAACGGGATGCGGACGTTTGAGGCGTGAAAAAGAGGATGAAAAAAATAAATACAATGTGGAGTGTGGTAGTCGTGGCTGAGCGGTCCAGGTTTGGATGCGAAGGGATGAAAAGACAAGGTCCGAACACAGTGATGGTCAGTGTAGCAAGAGAATCTTTATTGGTTCCAAGGTAACAAGTAAGGTTCGATAGGCGACAGTGGCGCCATCAGTCGGCGGGTTATGGAAGCTGTATAGTAGACGATGCAGACAACAGCAGTGCTGCCACCCATACCACGACACCTCCCCCCTTCCATTTAAAGGGATATATCTCTTTAACTCTATGTAACCCCGGTACATATGTAAATCTGGCTCTGTGATTGGGTGGGTTAACTGCATCGGCTCGACATCTAATATGAGAAACTTGCACTGGTAAACATCCAGACACCGCTGGTAAACATCCAGTGTTGTTCTGCTAGGCCCGCGAGGCTGCAGCGTCAGAAATAATTGGTTCAGTCTGTCTGTACTATTGAAATTAATGGAACAACGAACATTTTGTCAGTTGGCTCATTGGTCTGGCAAACCTCAGCTTTACTTCGGAGCTAGGAGCGAGACTGTCTGACTGTAATTTCATTGTTGTCCGATAAGTACTGAGAGCTTTGGGGTTATGGTAAACCTTGAAGGGGTCGCGTGTGCCAAACACACATTTGTGCAATAACTGGTGTCGTCGATTGACTTTTGCTACAAAAGCTCAACATGACATAATCCAGTTTCATGACTGAGTCCTTTACCTCCCTTCCTTCCTTTTTTTTTTTTTCTTTCATTCATCACCCTTCTTTTGATGGAGTAGCCACATTATTGTGCTATGTAGCCCTACCAGTTAGTTACTGTTGATCAAAGTTCAGAGTTACTGGGGAACAGCCAAGCATTCAGTGTTCGAGGTGCACTTTTGATCACAGTCTTGCATCAGCCAACTGCCTCATCTACTCTCATAAGGGCAACACCCGTTTTGGAAGTGGCAGATTAAGCCGGAGACTCAACACTTATTTTGTTGTGTCATCAACCTTCGACATAGGAGCATGTATGTCAGGACCACTGATTGGTGCCAACAAGTGCCCTTCAATGCAGTCTTGCTTGCTGAGTGTGCAAGAATTAATGGCCTTTTGGGACGCTACAAATGTGGAGCAAATGTGATTTGTTGCTGTTGGACAATCGTATCATTTGAGCTAATGTTTGGGCTCAAGTGACACTCCTGGTCACCATCATCAGCTAAAATACAAGGCGACAAGTGATTGTTTGGCCAGAATAGCGAGGAAACTTTTTGAGTGATTTCCAGTTCTCAACCTAAATCCATTCCCGTGACTTGCTCATTTGGTCCTGTTAAAGGACTGTGGTCGAGCATGGAAATATGTCTCTCGCAGAGATTAGTTCAGATTAGGCCTGGCCTCAGTCCTGTACTTTGATTAGCTATTCTCTGGAACATTTCACTCTACCTTTGGCACTATCACAGTAGTTGTTTGATGCGCAATAAGGAGTTGCGTTTCTGGAGGTAAGCTGAATGTGTGGAGAGAGATTTTGGTACTCCAGTAGTGTTTTTATTTTCCCCACGAATCAGATCTAAATCTTGCTCTGTTTTGTTCGAGCATGTCACCATTTGTAATATGAAGATACAATCTACAACTTGCTTTTCTTTTCCTTTAAAAAAAACAAACTAAGATGTGCAAATCTCTCTTTCAATCGATTCGGGGATTATTTATTTGTGCACCATGTGGTGTCGTACCATCTCCACTCCAAATTGCTTTCCAGTTTTGTCCTCACAGGGAGACAGAGGGGTTTAAACAACACCAAAACCAAACACAGTAGGTAGGATTGAATGTGATAAGCCCATGCCCTCCGGGTTGTGAATTCCACCCCTACATGGCTGACAGTGAGAACTGCTTCGGGTTTTCAACCAGCACTACCTCAGTCTTTGTACCAAGAGGTGTGGGGGGGGACTGTTTTCTGACAACATAACTGCCTTTCGGCTTACTTCCACTGCGCTCGGCTTGTTATGTTGCAGATTGAGGGTACCTCACTTTTGTTTGTACAGTGGGGACATCTTTGCATGTCTGTTTTGGATTGGGACGGGCAGTGTAGAAGCACAACAAAAGCTAGGTGATCAGTCTAGACTTGTGTGTCACACTCCACTCACTGAGGTCCATTGTGGTACTAATTTGTTGAGTTATATCCTATGCCAACTCAGTTCATTGCAGGGTGCCTTATCTGGGTATCAATGTGATACTTTGGACGGGTTCATGTATGCACTGTACTGTACTACAGTCTTTGTCCAGTTTCCGTTCAGTTTTGAGTTTCGAGACACTAGGCCTTGGACTGCAAATGAGTAAAATTCTCAGAATTTCATTCAATCCAGTTTTGAATGTCTTTGCACTAGTGTTAAGCATGACACAGCTGTCCAAATAGGCAAGACCCTCTTTTTTAGGCATTGAGGAATTCAACTCCAGGGTAGCATTGAAAATGTACAAATGTTGCGCAAATAAATTTTCTCTTTATTGCGAACAAACAAGGACAAACGCCTCGGTATGCTTCAGCATTCAGTTGTCAAAACAACACTGTTAACGCAATCTGACTTCTCAGGGCGTGCAAGGGCGACAAGGGCAATGACTTGCTAAAGTAGCCAAACTCATTGAGCACCCGCAGTGATTCACTTAGGTGGAGCAGTACTTTTTACCGCTTTCATGGGGCCACTCGGACCAACTGCAGTGCCTTGCTAGCACATGCCAAAGCGGTACAGGTTACCACGTTTTGGTCAAAGACCAGCCTGCTAGCCTCAAGCGTAAGGCTGCGGAACAGAACCAACATGTTCAGGGAGCAGGGTCTCAGGGCCTCGCCCATTGAAACTGGCGACCACGAGGCATACGGCCCACCGCGGTTCCATGTCGTGCACTGGACTACATAGTTCGGCCCTGCGTTGACACCAGCGATTCGAGTCATTCATTGCGATTCATTGTACACTTTTCATAGAGTGGGTTTGCTGTAGGTGTCCTCCAGCACCTCACGCAGCCAAGCACATGAAACAGTGATACACAAGGGGTTAACAACATGGACCTTTAGGGTGACGCAACAAGCAGCCGGTGAACAACTTTGATTCGTACTTGCAATTTATCGTAAACCCAGAGAGAAATTTTGGTGGAAAAGACGTGGAATCGACGTGGTGTTATACGTGGAAAACACGTGGCAAATTCACGTGTTATCCACGTGAATTTGACTATCTCATCCACGATTTATCGACGTGTTGATCACGTCGATTCAACGTGATATCGACGTAAAGTCTCCATGTACAAAGGTGCTACACGCAGATCTGAATCTCAAATTTAGGTATAACTCTGGAATTTATATAGTAAGGTGAAGGGTAAACAGTACATAGAGAAACAGTTTTTTTTTTTGTTTTTTTTTTTGTGAGTAGAATGTTGACTTTATTTGATGAAACATGAAAACAACGTAAAGAAATAAATCCTAATCTTTAAAACAAAAATAGCAATGACTAGATGCAACGAAACTTAAAGAAAAACATAAACAGTCTTCTCGCTGCATACATCAGCCAGTTTATAATGGGTTCTTCAGCAGAAGGTACTACCCCCCTGCTTATTGAAATCTACCAAAGCACCTGAAAATAAATGAAACTAAATTACTGTGAATATGGAGGTAACATTAGAAGAAGTGAACAGACTTTTTATAACAAGCATTTGAATTTGAAGAAGCAACGACAAGAATATAATTTCAAATACACACTATCAGAGAGACAAGCCTTTCAACGTAATCTGATCTAGAGTTCAAATCAATGCACTGACAATAACACTGTGTAACAATAGCAGAAAAGTTCGGTGAAAAACGCAAACAAATTTTGAGTTGCAGTGTAATTAATGTTTTATTCAGGCTTCGAGTCATTCCCTAAGAGGTTAAGTATGATAACCTAAACCAAACTAACCTAGTCTATACTTCGCCCACGATAAAAGACAGAGATTAAATATCTTTTCTTGACACTAAATACATCTATAACCCAATCACGCTGAGAAGTTATAAGTTTAGACCTTCCCTTACCTTCCGACTTTGATTAACGGCAGCAGTTCTGGTACCAGCATGCTCTTGTGCCTCTATATCACCATACGTCCACAGAAGACAAAACCTGCACGAAGAGAAATTACTAACGATGCGATAATACAAAGAGGAAACGTAAAAAAATTGTATTCACTTACGCTTGTTTGATTTTTTGTAGTAATTGACCACAAACACGATACGACATTTCGAATGTAAACAACTTACGGTGCCTTCTTTTTTCCGTCCAAAACGAAACTCTATGGTGTCGTGGCGGAATATTTGAAAGGTGTTCTCAAGAACACTATCTGAGTATTCTTCAATGAAGATGACGAATGAAAAGCGTGTGCTCTGTCACAGAATAAATGTCTAACAGTTTCGTTGGCGCTGTTTTAAAGTGATAAGCATAGCTACATTTGAGACCAACTGGTACGAGCAACTAAATCAAGGGTTTCGAGGCAATGAGGTATTTAGCCGATACGAAATCGGAAGGAAGAAGAAGCCCTGGAGCCAAACAAACCGTCAATTGTTCGATGAATTCGTCTGCTTAAAACCTGAACAATTGAAGGTTTGTTTGGCTCCAGGGCTTCTTCTTCCTTCCGATTTCGTATCGGCTAAATACCTCATCGACGTGAGATCAACGTGGAATCGACGTGTAAACGACAGACGAACTGATACACGTCGATTCGACGTGGATTCCACGTCGAATTGACAATATACTGGAATATGGCGTTCAGAACAATAAAAATCCCATTTAGTAAGAAATGTTGACGAAAAAATGGTTTCTTATGATTTTATTTGCAACTTTTTAGAAAGGTAAATAGTGGTGGATATCTGGTGGATGTATCCACCACCACGAAAAATCCACGAAACCACGTGGAGTCCACGTCTTTTCCACGACCTATTTCTCTCTGGGAAATTGATTAGCTCTACTTTGCTATTTTGATTCATTGGTTCAAAGTTCTAGATTGAACAGGAATATTCCGACACTATTGTTCACCGCTCATGTAGCACATTGTCCGTGATTTTTTAGTCACTCACCCAGTACACTTTCCTTCGAACTTCCTGGTTCTCAGCATAGAAAAAATGTTCGCCATTCGGCTGCGCCATGTGGTAGTCGTGGCTGAGCGGTCCAGGTTTGGATGCGAAGGGATGAAAAGACAAGGTCCGAACACAGTGATGGTCAGTGTAGCAAGAGAATCTTTATTGGTTCCAAGGTAACAAGTAAGGTTCGATAGGCGACAGTGGCGCCATCAGTCGGCGGGTTATGGAAGCTGTATAGTAGACGATGCAGACAACAGCAGTGCTGCCACCCATACCACGACATGGAGGGAGAGTGAATGGTATAAATAATGATCTTCAACGATTCTCACAGCCTGTTAAGGAGCTAACGGGGTTAACTGTGTGCGGTTTTCGATATGTTTTGCGAGACTGCTGGGTATGGGAGGGAAATGAATGACCAAAACAAGACAGGTTTCTTTTCGGAGATCGAGTAATCAGGGAATTATTGTATTTTTGAGCAACACAATGATCCATTTCAACATAATAACACAAAATGTGGTAGGAATGATGATTTGTTTCCTGTTCAACGAGCAAATATAAAAATAGGTAATGTCACTTTCGTCTATTTCTAACTCTCACGCTTAGCAAGTCCTGAATCTACAGTCATCGTCGGTTTTGAAAGGCAAAATCGTGGCCCTTTAGAGCTATTGCCAGACCTCTGGCTGGGTGGAGAGCACGTGAACATCACGAAAAAAAGACAGAAACGTGTCAAGCTAATCGCCAAGAGACGCTATGAGTCACTGACACCTCTACAAATATCGCGTACGTCTACGCTACACAAGGTCCCTGAGTTTATTTTTTTCTTACCTTTGACACTTAAACATAGAACACACAACATAAACATCGACAAATAAATAGAACATTTAAATAACGTCATGTCACGCATGTCAGACATGTCAGTCAGAATTGTGAGATCCGTGTTCTTACCTAACTAAAGGACTGGGGGGGAATAAGTACCCGAAATGGCACGTGGATGGCTAACCTAATAAAAACTCTTTCACACGTTAGCGGTAATGTTGTTTTCCTAATGCGAGGGACGCCCGGTCCCGGTGGCCCCGAGTCGCCGAGGCACGTGCACCCACGTGGTGCTCTGCACGTAACACCAGTCAGTCCGCGGACGGATCGGCCGGACATACTCCGCTAGCTTAGTGTTCGTCCTCGCGGCGATACTCCGCGCCGCGTCGCGGCCAAGAGCTCCACGCGGCGTATTCACACCCAGCTCTGGGCGTCGCCACACGACGCCAGCTGGCCTTTGGTCCTCGCGGCCACCGTGGTCAGCCCCTGCATGCTCTGCACCTCCACGTCCTTGTTCTTGCTGTCGTCCATGATCACGTTGTCGTTGTTGTCGTCGAGCACGCCGTCGAGCCGGTCGAGCTCCAGCCGGCCCGAGATCTGCACCGTGTCAAGCTTTGAGTTTGTCGTCAGGCTGCGCCTCGCGTTCTGCACCACACACACAACAGGTTTCCGCTCAGTGAGGATGGCTCCACAGAGGACCGCAGCACACGCAGGCGCTTGCGTCGGATAGAAACTGGGGCGTGGCCAGAGGGCTGGCATTGCGCGTATCCAGAAAAATTGAGACTTGTAAGTAGCAACCATCATATTGTAGGCCAGGGATAACCATACAAAATACCGTTGCTGGCTCGTTGTTGGCACCACCCACCATACGTGTTGCCGCAACCCTATTTTCATGGGGTTCCATGATCTACCATACGATGGTTGCCAGGAGTTTTAGATTTTCTGGGAGCGTAAATCATTGCTAACAAAGTTTGCGCCCCTCGCACCGACCCTCCGCTCCGGGGCCCTGGGGGGGCTCCTGGAGGGGGTGGCGGGGGCCTCACCTGGCCTTGCAAGTCGCTGGGGCGGCGGTAGCCGGGCGGGCCGTTGTTGGGCCGCGACAGCGACGGCGCGGACTGCAGCAGCGACCCCGGGCGCCGGGACGACCCGCTCCGCCGGCCGCCCCAGAAGGTGCGCGTCGACTGCCAGCGCCGGCGCACCTCCACGCGCACCTCGCGCGTCATCAGGCAGTAGAGCAGCGCCACCAGACAGCCCTGCGCGAGAGCAGCAACGGTGTCAGCGTGACGGGCTCCCATGTGTACTATTTGTGGTCCCGACAGGGCTCAAGGGGGGTAAACGTTCGGCACACACGCTCGACACCTTATCAGGCAGAGTGCCGTGTCGCTGACCTGGAACGACGCGAAGGTCTGGTCCACCCCGATCCAGATGATCTCCAGGATCTCGTGGTGGCCGACGCCCGCCTGGAAGACGAGGGACAGCGCGTACTGCGTCCCGAACAGCGGCACCAGCACCATCGTGGAGCGCGCCCAGCGCCTGCAGCAAGACGGAGAGGGTGGCGATGAGGGTTGCGAGGAAGGTAGAGAGGTGGAGGAAGGTGGAGGGGGAGGAAGGAGGAGGGAGAGGAAGGAGGAGGGAGAGGAAGGAG